ACTTTATTTCAATTATTAAACTGTTCTTTTCTCAACCCAGGGGTTTCTCTCACTCTTACTCCTCCAATTCTCTCCCCCATTCCCATCAGGGTAGGGGGAGTGAGCAAGCGCCTGCGTGGTGCTTAGTTGCTGGCTGGGGCTAAACCACAACAGACCTATGGCTTGTAAGAACTAAAAGGTTAGACATGGACCAAGCAGATCATAATCAAGGGAAATGTGAGCTGTTCCCAAGAAAGACAGGATAAGTAGGAAAAATAAACTGCTGCTGGAATTCTCTAATCAGAATAAAATTCCTCCCAACCAAGAAGCTGGAGAAAGAGCAAAGAGAGGATGTTCTCCAGCTGCTAGAAAGAAACCAGTGGAAAGATCCACGTTCTCTCCCAGAAAGGAAAGGAAAGTGGGCAGAGAAAGCATTAGGCTGTGCAGCTGCATGACAGTGCTTGACACTGGCTGCACACGTACTCTCAAGACACAGCAGCTCTTAAAACGGAGCTAACTTCAGATTAGTGGTCTGGTCTCCAGCCTCTGAAGTACATTATATTTTCCTCACTGCCACTAAGCAGATATATTGGAGTACTGCACCTAAAATGAACCACCAGAAAAGCAGGATAGTATGAGTCATACTTGTTCTTCATGAATTTATGCTGATGTCGAGGGATCTTAGTGGGCAAGAGGAGTTATGTTTGAGAAAATCACAGGACACAGCAAGTTCTCCTAGTTTACCATGTGTACACCAGAGCTCTTAGACAGGATTTCAGGTGTTCGTATCCTGACTAGCTAACGCCTCTGGATTTCCCCATGAAATTCCTCTTCACAAGCACAGCTGCACTGCTTATCAAGTTTGACTTTTCAGCAGTTTATCAGATTCAACCCAGGTTACAGCTTTTTTCCCCCCAAACGCCCCATCCCCATATAGCAACAGCTTGAGGACACTTCCTGTCGACTCCAGAATAAAAGCATTCTGGCTTGATAACCACTCAACCTGCAGCTGCAGAGCTCTGTCCAAGCCATAATTGTTACTTTAGGAGCCAGAGCAGCCCTCTGGTAAACACCTAATTACTATTCACTGCACACACAAAGCAGAGCTGTGTTCCTTTTGAGCAGCCCCAGCAGACTTGATTTGAAGATTTCACTGTTCTTGAGGAGACCTAATTTGCGTGACTTCAGACAGGACTCTCTCTGAAATCCTTGTGTGTAAGGCATTGCCTCCTTACAGCTACCCCAGGCATCAAGAGCTGGTCAGTACCCACAGCAGGTGAAAGAAAAATGGCTTTGCCCAGACCTACATCAGCCATGGGGATGAGGGTGTCAGCAAGGTGACCAATTCGGTTCTTTCTGTAGAGCCAGGACATCAGCAGTATCCCCAGAGACACATCAATCAGCAGAGAGACAAAGATGTTGGCTTTCCTGCATGCACACAAGAGAAACAGTGTTAGAGCAAAAGGAAGGACGGTGTTTAATGTTTCAATGACAATTGTCGGCTTCACTTACATAGCATCTTTAATGTCCCAGGGAGACCAGTACAATTTACTGAAGAGACATGGTGTAGAGATTTTTTGACTTTCAGTGGTGTGCCCCTACTTCTATGGCCAAACATGGAGCCACTCAGAGCCTGCCACACCACAAAACCTTTCTTAGTAAGGGGAGCAAAGAGTAGGATTGAAGCTACAAAGAGTAATGTTAGACAAAGTGTGTACTTTGTCTAGAGGGGATTTACTCAGAGGGGATTTACCAATACTAAGGGCACCAGCACTTGGAGTATCCACATCGAAATCAGATGGCTTTAAAGAGGTATACTTTAGTTAAACCACTAGTCAATGTAATAAACAGTGTTTCTAGGTACATAAACACACATAGAAGGGCTGCTGAACTGCCCCCTCACTGCTAGAGTTTCTGAATGAAATTCCATGACGTGAGTTATTCGGGAAATCAGATTAAACAATCACAGTTACTTTTGGCCTTCAAATCTGCTAATCTATTTTAAGTGTTCCCTGGGAGTCTATTACTGCAGGATCAGAGAACGACACAGAACAAGACTCACTGTGTAATGGCTGTAGGGCATTCAATATCTGCCTCACTGTGTTGCACGTTTGCTTTTTCTGTTACACTGACCTTGTTACTGCTGTTGGAGTCTCTGGTCTCCAGTTACTGCAAGAAAGATTCCCCAAAAGAGTGGGTGAAAGAGGGGAGCATTTAAACCGTTCTGCTCTTATGGAAAGTGCCACTGAATACTGACTGCAATTTTTGGTTAACAGCAGCATATGTCAAAGCAATGAGCTTGTGGGAGTACTGACAGCAAAGCACTACACACATGGGTGCAGTACAAGCTTTCTGTGGGCAATATCCTGGCTGCCTTTCCTAGGCTAGGGAAAAAGGCATATATCTGGCAAAAGGCATAATTAATACAAACAGAGTGCAGAGTAAAGATCTGCAACCTAGCAGGGAGTAGAGCAAGGAAGGCAACGTGACATGGTGTAGAGAGGATCCCATAGTGCTGCATGGGCACAGAATCCATGGTTTGGGTTCCCCAGAGGAGACAGGGCTAGAGCAAAGGTGTACATGACTTTATGTGTAGTCCATACCTCATTAGTTGAGTCTGGGTTTGAGCCTTCTTGTTGCTGCTGATGACCTGGAGGTGCTGCAGGCGATGTCCCAGCTGCTCACAAGTTGAGAGTTTGCTCCATAAGAAAGACAAAGGCCAAAACTTCAGCACCCTGCAGAAACACCATGGGAATGTCCCGTTTTGCTTTTGCCGTATAGTAGGCTGTACAGCATGCAAACTCCATGCAAAGCATTCAGTGTAAAGTTAAGGTTGTACAACCAGAGACAGTGTCAACATATTATCATTAAAGAATATTAGATGCTAACCACTCTCTTAAAGGTTAACAGAATTAAGGCAGCCTTTCCAGATCAAGACATTTAAAGCAGACAACCTAAACTCTCATTTCCATTCTGTAAAACCACACGTCTCACTCTTCCAAGGAACCCAGAACGCAATCCTGATTCCACCCTGTGCTTTGGGACACATCACTGGGATTGCACACTGCTCTGAGTCTCCAGGAGACTGGATTCAAGGCAGTTGTGTGTACAGTGCAACAACACAACATGGTGCAACTGCTTCACAAATCCCAGTATTATTAATCACAAGTCTCTATCTAGTGTGAGCTTGGTATAACAAGCAGCTGCGTTCTCCCCGCAGTTTCTGTGCCTTTTTCCCCTCTTTTCTTTTTCTTCCACTTGATCCTTTTCTTCTTTTTTCTTATTACTTCCAAATTCCTTCTCAGGGTCTTCATTTCTATCTTCTCTCCACTGCCTTGCCAAGGGTGACCACCATCATGTAGATAACACAACATTTAGCATCTAATTAGGTTTCAAAGTTAGCATCCACATTAGGCCTGAAGGGGAGGAAATACTCACACGGTTCTTTTTTAATGACAGAAGAAAAGTACTAAATGATGCTCAATTATTTGGGGGAGTTACTTTTATTACCACACAATCTATAAAGAAAGGAATGATGGTGATTTGCATAGTCTAAAATGACACCACCGGATCCAGGCCGGTCAAAGAATGCAGAGTAGCGGTACAGCAACACAAAGCACCACGTTTTTTGTGGGGAATAAATTCTGGACATAATCTGGATCACTTCTTTCCTGTACACAATGGTTGTTTCACTATTTTCAGTGTTTCACTGTTTCTTATTAAGGGTCCAGGAATCTATGTTCACTTTTAGTCACTTTCTTCACCTACTCTCTCTTACTGCTTTGGCACATTCCTTCAGTTTACATTCATTCCAAACACTAAAATTATTCCTGGTATTCTGCTTCGCTTTTGAAATCATACAGCTGTTTGGATCATTAGTGAGCGTGGCCTGGAGACGTCCCTGCAACGTGTGCATGCCTTTCCCAGATTTCATATGGAGGACTTCAGCCTGTCGGCCAGTACCAGAGTGCCTTTATGACTGGCCAGGATAAAACGCAGGATGGGCAGACTGGGGCTCTGGCTGCTATTTATACATTTTACACAAATCACAAGGGTATGGCTTGTTCAAAATCCTGCTCTGTTCACTGTGGTTGCTATCCCCTTCCTCCCCCCATCCCCCCGAGCCCTTTCAAACATCCCTCGTGCAAGGTTTGTCAGCTTAAAAACCAGAGTGCTGAAGTCCCCCCTTCCCCCTCCCCATTCAAATTTCACACACATTGGTTTTGAAATACACGCAGTGTACTGTGAATCATTCTTCTTAATTTGAGGCCTCTGAGTTACTCAGCTCTTCGTTATGCCTCCCACCTTAGAGACAAATGAATGCACTGTTCTTCAGCTGACTTGTCAGGAGGTGATACCTAAAGTGGCGGAGGAAAGGCCGCCATGCAGGGGAGGGAGACACAGGGGGCAACTGCACTGGACACTGATCTCAAGGACATGGGTTCGCAGACTCACCAAGGCACAAGTGCAGATGAGTTTTCTCTTCCAATTAATATCCTAGCCCAGTGGTTACAAATTCTGGTGTGGCAAGCCTCTGCTAGCACAGAGAATTGCACTTGAAATGCAAAGAAGGGAGAAGGAGAAACGCTCTACGTGTGTGGTTATGTACAGACAGCTGAAGGTGAAAAATTACTGGTCAAACCAACAGATGCCAGACCATCCCAGTTCAAGTAGAAAGCAACAGCTCTGAGGCCCTGTGCTAAACACTCACTGGGCTGACAGTCTCCCCATCCTCTCCCAGCAACATGTGTCTCTTACCATCCATTGCTGCTCCACAACTCCCCAAGCTAGAGTCAGCTAGCTTGTGGATCACCCACTGACCAGACACCCCTGGTCAAAGAAAAGGGCAGGCTGCTGCTCTCTTCTGCCTGAGGAATGTCTTGAACAAGCGAGAATGGTTTCCAAAGCAGCCTTATCCCCCAGAGCACCCCCCTGACATGTGCACCCACTGCAGCCTGCAATGGGTAAATGCATCTCCTTGATTGAGCAGGATGGGTCCACAAGGCACATCAGAGGTCTGTGCTTGTCTGTACTATGACTGACTCTCTTTCCACTTAACACTCTATTCCACTTACATACTTTCTTTGGAAAGTACATACATACACATACTTATTTAAATAAAAATACAAACACGCTGCAAAAAGCTCAATATCATAGTTGCAAGATGTGCTACAGAAACTCCCATCTCCAAGAGTACTGAGGAAGATAGCAAAAAATATTTCTTCCGTGTTTTTTTACCCCTATGCATGCTGACTATGCATTGCTATAAATGCTCCTACTTCTTTACCACACAGTATATAGAATAATTTTCAGAAGTGCAATGGAAAACCAACAAAATTTAAAAACAAAACCAAAAAACCAGTGATGTTGTGTCATTGCATTATTTAAGCAGCAGGAGATCTTTGGGGTATTTCCAAGTATAAGGAATTTTAGCAATAAATTAACATAGCCTGCATGAGTAAATCTTGATTTTCCAATTCAATTTTTTTTTCCAAGAGTGGGAGTAGATTTTTCAGATATCAGATGAAAAGCAATCTTTCCAAATCTGGATCACATGCAAATATTAAAGCTCCATTAACCAGAACCCCTGGCTACCTTTTTGCTCCTTGCTAGTAACTGCAGGAACAGTGCAGTTCTTCTGGATGAGGAATCAGAAGTCACGGTGTTTGTAAACGGACTTTTTTTTTTTTTTTTTTTTTAAAAGGAGCGCACGGAGTTTATTGCCTCAATACTAAATCACCCTGATGTCCCCAACAGCACACTGGAGACCTTCAGCGGTAATGGCAACCCTGCACACAAGTCCCTCTGACGAGAGAACTGCAATGGCCATCCCTCAGCACAAGGTGGTGCTGAAGAAATGTCTTAATTTGAGATGCACAGGACTTGAGAGTTCAGTAAGCTTGGATAGATATCAGTGCTCACTTTCTGAGATTTCTAACGCTGCTGCCCTGCTTCCCCAGCGCAAATACACAAGAGTGGCATATCCAAAAAAGCCCCAAGCCTCCGCAGCCTGAGAGGACATCACTGATCTCTTTCTTTAGCTTTTTAAAGCTGACTATCCCTGAACATCACAAAAACCTGGGAAAGAAAGAAGTCCTGTGACCAGAAGGAGCAAAAACCTGGTAGATCTTATTTTATGGGACATCTTGTCCCAAAACAGGGAGGAGGGGACTGGAAGGACACCTGCATGTGACATCTTGAACCCTCCCTGCCTTGTGTATGTTGGCACAAAGGAAGCTGTACCACATATCACATGCTAAATTGAACCAAATTACATTAAATGACTTAGAAGGTCAAGCAGGAGGTTATAAAGCTAGCTACTAATCTCAGTTCTCCAAGACTGATGTTTTAAAACACCCATAAAATAAGTAAATATAATGCTGATACTATACAAAGCAGAAAGAAACCTTTATCTGCCTCCCAAGGTTAAGAACAAGTTCAACCCAGGTTTATGTACATTAAGTCTCGCATTCTGCCTGCTGCTAGCCTGCTGCTCTGGCTTGAAACATCTGTACTGGGCTTAGGAAAAGCTGAAATCAAAGTAGCTGCTGATAAGCTGGATAGCAGCTATCTGTGCCCAACCTGTGAGACTGAGCTCAAGCTCCCAAGTTATGCTTGGACTGTGGCTTTCTGGAGACCTGTGAGGCTTGGGTTTAACCTGACTCTAAGCCTGGTCTGAGTCCTAGCACTGATCAAGGTGGGCAAGTCTGACCTTGAAACCAAGTGCCTACGGCAGAAAAGGATCATCCTGGTTGTTGGTAGTTGCACACAGTCCATGGACAGCCAGAAAAAGGACCTTCAGAGCTGACTCCCACCCACGAAGTTCTGACTTAGTTACCATTAACAACCATTAACTTAATTACCATTAGCAACCATTAATGCATAGTCAGTGTCTACAGAGCAGTCCCAGGAACCACAGTGGTCCCTGATTATAGCAGGTTTGGGTTTGACCCTAGGTCTCTTCTAATAGAGTAGTCCAAAAACTGACAGTTTTCCCTTTGTGTACCAAAATGTGTAACCCAACTGTTCATAAAATCTTTGCATATGAAGAGTTTAACTGTAATTTTTTTATGACAGTATCATACAACTGGAAACCTGTTAAAAGACTTCGTTCCCCATAACCTTAGGCTATACGCAGAAGCTTCTCCCCTTCAAATCTGCTCAGAATTCCTCTTTAGTGCAAGCAGTTGCCACACATTACATTCAAAGCATTCTATTCAGTTTCATGGTTATGACAACGGGATTTCACCAAGGATTCATGTAGACCACCATCCCTTGTAGCCCGCTATAAGGTGCCATGGTTGCAGCACCACCATCTCTTAGAAAGACAATGGATTTAGACACACTATTTGTTGATGCTTCACAGCTGTGGAGGGATTCATAGCAAACAGGGAGTAGGGAGTCCCAGCTATTGAGCCATTAAGGAGATCCTCATGTCATTCTGTCAGCCATGGAATAACTGAAACCCAATGTTTCAGCTGTGATGAAACTGAAGTGGGGCTGAGCTTCCCCTGCTGCAAATGCAAATTTCTGGCTGCCTCCCCAGAAAACCTCCCAGCTCCTTGAAGGGCTCTACTGTATCTGAGGAAGCCTTTAGCCTTGTGTTTTCAATGGAGCTCCCCAAACTTCAATAGCAGCTCTGCGACAGCCTGTTTCCAGCAGAACTATTTGTATCAACTGTATTTCTCACTGGGGTTGAGCAAATGCCTAAACAGGTATTACATATCCACGCAAAATGTAAGCTGGCCGATGTCGCATCACTTACCTGCTCCTGCAGATCCCAGAGATAAGTGAAAGCAGGAGTGTCAGCAGCATGCACGCAGGCACAGAGGCCTGCTTCATCAGCTCCACAATGATACTAGCTTCAACGCCATCCGACTGCCAGTGGGTCAACTTGATGGGCCCATCATTGTATCTGTCTGTCATGAACAGTATCTTACTCTTCGCAACTGTGTCAAAGATGGCAGAGAGCTTTGAAGCCTCATCTGCCTTGTGGTCAGTGGAGGTAGCTGTGTCCAAAGGGGGATGTAGGTGGGAAAGCATGACTTTCCGCTGGTCATAGTATACTAAGATGATTTCTTCTTCCTTAGGGTTGTTAGAGTGTTTCTGAAGGGTAGAACAGCTCCAGAATTTGCTGCCTCCCTCTTTGCTCATCTGAATCCATGGCTCATGAGAGAATATTGTCCCAAGGTCTTCCAAGAACTCACTCAGACTCTCTTTCTCCTGTTTGCTGTTGCTCCATGAGCCAAGGACAGAAACACTGACTTTAGTCACCCGTTGGATTTCACTGAGATACTGCTTCACCTGGACAGGAATAAAAGGGAAATGGACCACGGCAAGGATAACAGCAGAGTTCTGTTCTGAGATCCAGCGGCCGATCAAAATGCCACTTTCTGCTGAGGAGCAGCATGATGGAAAGAAGACCTTAAGTACCATGTCAGCGATTCTGGAAGAACAGTACGCCTGCCAATAAACACAGAAATAAAACTTGAGAATGGTGATTAAATGCAAGGAAAATTTGAGCTGACCAAAGTCACTGGGGAGGAGGACCAATCAAGTTTTAAAACACTAAGTCCAACCACTTGCATAATGATGTTAGTGACAGCCAACAAATATACACACATCAGAAAAGTATTTAGGAGGTTCCTGATAATCTGCAGTCTTTGAAGTGAGGGGTTGTGAGCCTGGATTTTCTCAGCAAAGCCCTTCTCTGACTCCTTGGAGCAGTCTTTCATGATGGTCCACTGATAAGCACAGCCTATTGGACCAGCCAAGATCAGGAATACATCCAGCCGCAGATCTTGGATCTGACATTGGATGCACTTGAGCACTGCCTAGAGAAGGGACTACATCGTGGCACACTGATGCCTCTGGGGAATATTTCCTCCTATTACTGATAATCAAATATTGGTTTATGCTACAAAGCCAGATAATTTCAAAGCCTTCTTTATCATCTAGGAACCCAGAGCTGTGCTCTGCAACAAACTCACTGAACAACCTTGGTCAGGTCACTGATCTCCTCTTGTCTCACTCCCCTCATCTGGAAACAGAGATGATTTTTTCAAAAGGGACTACAGTGATTAACTGATTGAAGTTTACATAGTAGTTTTAATTCATTAGATACAAGATCCTAAAAAAGGAGAAGCATCTCTGCTTTATTAGTGTTCTTTATCTACAATATTTTTCTTCACGTCATTAAGAAAACATCTCAATGGCTTTGTAAGAATTTTACAAAAAGGAGCTTTGAGGCAGTTGACAATGTCTTTTTAAATAAGGTGGAGGTTTCTAACAGAAATATAATTGCAGTAAGGAGGGCGCTGGTGCAGAACAGTCGGCATCCGGTGCCCGTTGTCCTTTCCCGTCCTTCAGTGCTTTGTTAGAGATGTGAAAACTCTGCAGGCCCCCGAGGCTGGCTCTTCTGCGAGGGACCCAGTCAATCGGAAAGAGGAGCACAGAGTGTATTTATAACATGTAGAGAGGATGCGCAATGTGGAGGTCCCTGGTGGTTTTGGTTTTCTCTCTTTTTAATACAGGACAATTCATCTAGTAAATCTCAGCACCTGGCAATTTGCTATGGCATGGACAAGGCGATGGGGAAGCAGCAAAAGTGAGTGATTAACCTACTCCCAGCCCCACAGACCTGCCAAGTACAGCAGTAAGAAATGTCTGCTTATGGATGAGTTGTCAGCCCCTCAAGGCAGCAAGGTGAAGTTTTCTTGTGCACAGCTCTCACCTCCAATGGGAAAAGCATCACAGTTGCTGCATTTGCAAGGAGTAATGTTTTTTTTCCTGGGACTGAATTTTCGCTTTTACTGCAAAACTGCAAAGCACACCCCAAGACTTCCCCTCAAACAGCCATAAGGGTGCTCATGAGGGATTTTGTTCACAGCATGCTGCTGGAAGCAGACAGCATTTGCAGGTGCTGAGAGCAGTGAGCACCGTCCCTCACTGCCTCACAAGACCCTCCAGCCCACGGCGAGATTTGGAGGCCACAGAGGCCACATCTCTCCCTCCTTGACCAGAAGGATAACCTCAGAGAAGTGGAGTCTGTGAGGAAGGAGGATCTCAGAAGAACCTCAAATAATATGTGTTTTTCCAAAGGGCTGCAAGCCTCCAGCAGAAGGGGAATGGAAGCGGAAAGATGTATAAAGGAAGGGTAGAAAAATGGCAGGTGTGACACCCTGAGACTGTAAGGGTGTAGGACACCAGGCATGGGAAAGACCAACTGAAAAATGTCATCTTTCACCAAACAAAGTTTAATCACTATTAGACCAAAATGGACCGAAAAATAAGACATCCAAGCTTATTTTTCCAATTCTGTTGAAATAGCTAAGATGGGTATTTTTTGGTGGTTTTTTTCTGGAAGACATCAAAGGACACATCCTATCTGAAAGAGCTGTTCCTGACACACATACGAAACTGGTGAAAATCAGCTAAAAGACACAATTAATTAGACTGGTCCTTAAAAAGGTTTGAAATAAAACCTGTCCCCTACATTTTGCTCTTCTTTCTTCCACAAAGACTGAGGTTTGTCCAAGGATACTGGCCAAAATAGTCTTCCCTTCAATGCCTCTCCTATCTTCTTGCCTAACTCATTGTTAAAGAAACATTATCAGGTGAGATGAGACTTGCTTCACAATTTAGCTTTAGGTTTCAAAAAGGATTTTCATTCTTTTTCCCTAAGACCCACAGACATATTCCCAGGAAAAAGGAAATAAATTATATAAATACAGGGGCTCTGAAAGGCAAAATAACAGATTGAATGTGTTGGGAATGTACATACACGCATATGCTCAGAAATTATTTAAAAGAATATAAATTTAGCTAGAGTGATAACATTCTAACTGTATCGCAGTACCAAAACCTTACAAGTGAAGTTTACCAATAACTGAATACTCTAAAAACTGAAATTGAGCTTGATATTTTAAAGAACCCAGAGAAAAATGGCAAAAATAGGTATGGGAATGGGGTTTTTCATTATTTCTATTTTAATTACCAAAGCTACCACCAGCAATATTGGACAGATAACTTTTTAAAGCTGATTTTTTATTCTTCTGCCATTCAGTGAGACCTGGACAGGCTAGAGGGTTGGGCGGAGAGGAAGCCAATGAAGTTTAACAAAGGCAAGTGTAGGGTCCTGGGAGGAGCAACCCCATGCACCAGTACAGGTTAGGGGTTGACCTGCTGGAAAGCAGCTCTGTGGAGAAGGACCTGGGAGTCCTGGTGGACAACAAGTTAACCATGAGCCAGCAATGTGCCCTTGTGTCCAAGAAGGCAAATGGTATCCTGGGGTGTATTAGGAAGAGTGTGGCCAGCAGGCTGAGGGAGGTTATCCTCCCCCTCTACTCTACCCTGGTGAGGCCACATCTGGAGTACTGTGTCCAGTTCTGGGCTCCACAGTTCAAGAAAGACAAAGAACTACTTTAAATAGAGTCCAGTGGAGAGCTACGAAGATGATTAGGGGACTGGGGCATCTCTCTTATGAGAAAAAGCTGAGAGAGCTGGGTCTGTTTAGCCTGGAGAACCGGAGACTGAGAGGGGATCTTATCAACGCTTACAGATATCTTAAGGGCGGGTGCCAGGAAGACGGGGCCAGACTCTTTTCAGTGGTTCCCAGTGACAGAATAAGGGGCAACGGGCACAAACTGAAACACAGGAAGTTCCATATGAAGAATATGAAGAAAAACTTCTTTACTTTGAGGGTGACAGAGCACTGGAACAGGCTGCCAGAGAGGCTGTAGAGTCTCCTTCTCTGGAGATATTCAAAACCCACTTGGACGTGATCCTGTACAACCTGCTCTAGGTGAACTTGCTTTAGCAGGGGGGTTGGACTAGATAATCTACAGAGGTCGCTTACAACCCCAACCATTCTGTGATTCTTTTTCCTTGAGAGATGTAACAGTTGTTTGAGAGTATTGCCACAAGAGACTTCCGGTGTCTCTGCACGGCTGTCCTTAAAGGTTTGTCCATCCATTGGACATTTCAGAGAATTATGATCAACTGACTCTTAATTCAAACATTTATTTTTCACTGAGATGTTTTTTAAAGATAGCCACAGTTATCTGGGAAAACTTCTCATGGAGGAGAAGCACTTCTCATCCTTGTCTTTGCTAGTTTGTGAGTTCTTCCTCTTACACCTTCCCCAACCTTTTCAATTAACTTAGTTTTATGCAGCTAACTACTTTGGCTATAGGTCAGGTTAAATAATGCCTAAGCATATCATCTGGCTGCAGCACATCATGTGGCTACTGCAGATATGGCAGAGAAGACTCTGATACAATTTTCAGGCTGTACAAAATATCTTGACAGTTGAAAATTATCAACTACTCATATGTTAATGTGGTATACAGTAGTAACCAGGGAGCAGGCCTGGGAGCTCAGGTGGCAGAGCTGGTATTCCCAAATCCATGACTGGTCGTGCATCCTACTTTATTCATTTCAACAGACTGTTTGAAATCTAAAGTTGACATTTTAAATGTCATCACAGACAACTGTTTCACTGCTGTTAATTTTAACAGAAATATCCTACCAATATGCTTAGTCCGTGCTCATAAAGTGCTTAAAGTCTTCCAGATCTGCCCATTTCTGCTGGAAAGCCCCAGCTTTTCCCCAAGATGCCACACAGCATTAACGCAATGATCTTGGGCACAGCAAAACCAACAACGGACACAGCCTAAAATGCATCAACACAAGTAACAAATGAAGAAAGGACCCCGGGACTGATTCATTTCAGAATTTTAGACAGAAAAGCAAAGGTGAACAACAGGATGTAGCCCTGGTCTCACCACACAGGCTGCCCCGTCACCACCAGCCATGCCAAGGGTTGCCAACCCCTTGGCAAACACACGCCTCAGCATCCAGAGGTCTTTCCACGGGGTTTAGGGCTTCCAGGCCAGGAGATACAGAAAGCACTAACAAGCTGGCCACGGCTGTCCCTGGGGAGCAGGAGCAGGGCTCTCTCCCTGCAAAGCCCACCAACTCCTTGCTTATGCAGTTTTTTGCAGTTTTTAAATGTGATCTTA